TTATAAATGAATTATCCAAGAAAGATATTTATGAATGTGTATATTGCTTAGGTACCTTGTTATATGTTGTCAATAGGTCCCATAAAGATTCCCGAAATCAACCCTATTTTGGTAAAGCCTCTAGCTATACTCACAGAGATCATCGGCATCGACTTCCTCTTCGGTGACGACAATCTTTGGCTTTAGTTTCCTCTTTGATGATATCGAGTGTCGCAATAGAACATAGAAAAATAAAACAATTAAACATTTTTAATAACTAAGGCAATTTAACAAATACATGGCGGTCTTGCTGAATTGAATACATGGTGGAAAAGAGCGAGCAAGAAAGAGAGAAAAAAAAAAGGGCTATACAGGAAGAAGTTGAGAGAGATACTAGGGTGGGTCTGGTGGCTGGGTTTACGATGGGAGTGAGGTAAGTCAGGTGAGGAAAGTAGGTAAGAGTCAGGGCTATGGTGGTGCCAGTAGGGTTTGGGCAGTGTGGCAGAAGAGAAATATTAGGGGGGGAGGAAGAGAAGGGGTCAAGTGAAAAGGAGAGAGAGAACAGAGGTGCCCCTGTGGTCTATAATCCTATGTAGATCGCTTGCACGGAAGAGAAAGAGAGGGAGAAGTAGAGGTAGAGGAAGAGGATGGAGTAGAGAATTTTTTAAACCAAAAAGGATAGGAAAAATTGGGTGGATGGTGGAAGAGAGAGAACACGGAGAGTACATGCGGAACATAGTGAGAGATTTAGGCCAGTGAGGCACCACAGATTGAGAGATAGCAGATTCAGATATGAAAACTTCTACCCTATTGCCCACTACGCAGGATTACAGCAGGTATCGTGAGAATGGCGCCAGAGATTGAGAGATAACAGATTTAGATATGGAAACTTCTACCCCACTACGCAGGACCATAGTAGGTACCTCAGTCCTCTCTCTCGCTCTGGCTCTCTCTCCAGAGATTGAGAGATGGTAGATTGAGATATGGAAAATCCTCTACCCCACTGCCCACTATGTAGGACTGCAACAGGCACCTCTATCCTCTCTCTCTAGCTCTTTATCCTCACTTGGCCCCCCTCTTTCCCCTCCCCCCACCAATATTTCTCTTCGACCCCACTGCCCAAACCTTACAAGCACTACCACAACCCTTACTTCTGACTCTTCTACCACCTTTTTCCGCCTGACTTAGCTCACTCCCACCCATAAACCCAACCAAGTATCTCTCTCGACTCTCTTCCCTCTATACACCTCTCTTCTCTCTCTTTCTCTTTCTTGTTCACTCTCTTCCACCATGTGTTCATTTCAACAAGAACACCATGTATTCATTAAATTGCCTTAGCCATTAAAAAGGTGTAATTATTTTATTTTTCTATGTTTTATCACGACACTCAATGTCGTCGAAGAGAAAACCAAAGCCAAAGATCGTCGCCACCGAAAAGGAAGTCGAAACCGATGATCTTAGCTGAAGGCTTTACCAAAATGGGGTTGATTTCGAGAATCTTTATGGGACCTATTGGCAACATGTAATAAGGTACCTAAGTAATATACACATCATGGATATCCTCCTTGGGCAATTCATTTACGGTTTCAATTATATTTATTTATAATATTCACTTTCATACACATGAATTTACTTGATGTAATTTTTTTTTCAAGCCTTCGGAATCTTGTGAAAACTTAAATTATAAAATGTATCAATATTTATTTGGCGTAAGTTTGATATTTTATCAATTTATGAGTTAGAAGAAATAATTTGATATCTTTGTTATTTGTTATTAGGTAGACTTTGTTTTTGGTTGAGTCTTATTTTGATTTCTTAGGAGACTTAGGGTGCTTAGTTCTAATTGCTAATATTTAAATTAAAGAATTTTTTTGTGGACCACGTACTTTTTGGTAGTTTTGTTACTTTGGAAAGATTGTTTGTTGCTTGTGGTGATTTGATTTTTTGATTGTTAGTTATGTAACTCAACTTTACTTTAAACTTACAAGATAAGCGAGGTTGGTAAACAAGCACAGCAACAAAGTTTGAGAATTATCCAAGGTGTTATATATTTATTTGAGGTATGTTTAATATTTTTTTAATTTGTGAGTTGGAAAAGTTTTTTTTTTTGGTGTTTTTGTTATTTGCCATTGAGTAGTTTTTATTTTTGTTGGAATCTTTGTCAATTTCTTAGGAGGTTTGGGGTGCTTATTTGAGTTATGTCTTTTGTCAATTACTGGGTATTAGATAGTTTTCATTGTGTTCGATGAAGTGGGTTTTGATTATATGTTTTTTTATTAGTGGCACCCGAACTAGAGTTGGGGTTCACCTTTTTGGTTTTGCCCTTGATTAATTGGGCTTTTTTGTTTTCCAGTTGCTTTTTGATTACTCAATGACCATCTTTTATGTTTGTTTCCAGTGTCTTAATTGCCTTTTTTTGTACTATTTTATTTCCAGTTTCAAGGGACCTTGTATTTGTGGAATGATCTTAGTTGCGCAAGAGATTATTTTTGGATGTTGATATGGTCCATCCATCACAACTGTGGGGTAAAGTCTTTCAAGCAATATTGATATGTACGATTTAAGTTGCTTGAGGTAGTAATTTGTGCTTGACTTTATTGATTTGATTTTCATTATTATATGTCTTATTTTATGGCTTATTCATAAAAAAATTTGGTCTTTAATGAATTTTAGTTTTTTCATTCATGCGATATAATAAAGTAGAGCTATTTTTGAATCCTAAAAACAACCAAAGACTCACATCATTTTAGGATAAAACAGCATTTCATGTACAATCATGTGAATTATATATCTAAAACTGCAAACAACAAAAACAAAACCAAAAAAACAATTATCTCACTATAATCACCACAATCACAACCAAAAACATAAAAACATTAGCTACTGCTCGTGCCTGAACACACTTTGTAACACAACAAAATTGCCAAAATAAAAAACCAAACCCACAAAAATTAGCAGACAAGAAAAACTTTGGAAACGAAAAAAAATCATAGCACTCGCAAATACCAATTGAGTTAAACTTAACTGATCATAACATCAAATTGACTATGACATCAATTATTTCAACCCAAATAAATTTTCAAATAATAACTCCATACTCGCGACCATCACACTTACTCATTTCAATTAGTATAATATCACATATAAGAAAATTATTTGTACCAAATCCAATATTATTTTTCTTCACGGGACAATAAAAAATTCCAAGCAACAAAAAAATATATTCATTATGTGAAAAGAAAAAAAAAAAAAAACACTACAGCTCAAAGATGAAAAGGGGATTTAAAACTAACAGACTGTTATAAATTCTAGAACTAACGAACCCCAAACATACTTGAACCTAACTCCATATAAAAAAATATTAACATAACCACATCATTATTAAATAATATACGAACTGCTATGTAAGAGCACCCTGAGCTCACTGGCCATACATTAATTACTCTGGCCCAAGTTGAAGAGAGAGTAATAAGATTTGGCAGAGCAACCTATTAAAAAGTAAATAAGCAAGTGTATTAAGTATGTGCAAGAAGATTGAGTGTCCCATTAAGTATATACCATAATTACTTCGAGAAGGTAGATTATCATTAAGCATGTCATGCCCCATTAAAAATTGATTGATAAGTATATGTATTCGCTAGTACTATTTTTTTGTGTAACATGGTGGTGTGCATAAGAAGCAAGTGTTCAAGAGATCTCAACGTATCAAACAATATCAGGATCAAATAAATACTTAAAAGTGAAAATGCAAAGATATAAAGGTCAAACATAGATTCATCAACTAATAGATCATCGGCAATCAAAGGAAGCTTAATTGAATCAAAAGTGAAAAAAAAAATCATTAGGGACATGAGGACACCAAGTTAAGAAATCAAGAGCACCAAATTGAAATTAAAAAATCAAGAGCACAATCACAGGCACAAAGGGTACCCTTTGTGCCATGAGAATCAATGTCCCAAGCCAATCACAGGTTGTTGCATCGTTGCTACCTCTCGCGCCCTCACTATTCGTTGACTTGTTTAAAAAAATGCATTCTTCAAAAAGACAAATATCCATGGGTAAGTATCAATAACCATTGTCAAACTTTACAACAATGTCATGGTTAAGCATGACTCACTCCATCAACTTCTCAAATTCAATAGCTTTATGTATATCAAATACTCTATATAATAATCACCACATTTTCAACCCATTGCTAACATTGCATACTTCTTCCAGAAATTTTAAAATGTCAGACCACGATCATCTTTCTTCTTAAGGAAATGATTACTACATGATGTTGGTGAAGAGAAACCCACACCCTCAAGAGAGTGTTGCCATCTTTATTGAGTCCAAGACATATCATTTGGAAAAAAAAAAAGAGAGAGAATCCCTAAAACACTATGCCCATGTATACATTCTAAAAAAACCCAAAACATAGGTGGAAAATATATTAGAACTTAATCAACTGAAATTTCACAAATAAATTTAATGAGTCTCTCAAAAAAAAAACTCCACAAATAGGGAGAGCTTCAAAGATAAAAGTACCCGTCACTAAGAACATAATTAGTAATCTATAATTGTCACTCTCATAACTATTATTATGCTATTTGTTCCTAAGTAAATACTTACAGCTTCTGCCACTATTTTTCACTTGTACGCACCAGCTTTACCAATATGATCCATAGAGACGGTTAACACTATAAACTATAGTTTTTAAACCTGGCCCGGACATAGACCCATAGAAGAGACCGGGTCAATGGGCTATTGGTGCAATTGTTGGGTCACTAGTCAAACCGATAATTTAACATAAAATATAAAAAATAATAACTAATGATAATGAATATGCTAAAATTGCAAACTCAATCATCTACCAGAATCCACACAGATGAAAATAATTAAAATCCATACTACAAATTGAATGTTCAACTTAGTTTGACTAGCAAAATGACCTCAAGACTCGTGTATGAGGATGGGTTTTCTTTTGGAATCTCAAAGACAAAGTCTAAACAGGGCATTAGTAAGAACCATAAGGTCAATACTTGATTGCACTCTCAGATCCAACTACCGTTAGCAGTGAAATAGCTGAGATCCTTGCTCTATGGAAAGCCAGTAAAGTCATACCAGGTTTTCTTATCTTAAGGAGAAACTTTTGGTCATTACAGGCTGGGTTGTTCAAAAGAACCATGAAAAGATACCTTGAGAATGAGAGTGATTGTGTGTGCTCAAATGAGGCTGGGTTGTCAGTACGTTTGCTCAAATGATGTTCCATGATATCCATATCCGTCGAAAAACTGCAATATCATAGCCAATAAAGTAAAAAATGACAATGCAAAAACTAGTAAGAAGCATGAAAAAATGATGAGTATATAATATAGCCCACAGAATTCAAGAATATATTGGATGGATGAGACTACAAACCAACACCATCAATCAATAATTTCACAGTAAAATGTGCTAATGTAGGATCAAAACCACTAAAAACTCAACAGCGATTGGAAAATAAGTTGCAATTCAACTCAATAACAATATCAATTTACAGCCTATGCATTTTTAATCGACTGTCATTTTATCCATACATTTTGAATCAAGAATCAAGTAACACAATATAAAACTCGCCGATAAGTACAGAATTATCAAAAAGGTAACTTACAGAAGAACAAAAGACAGACATAAGATTCAGTAGAGTCTAGAAAATATGGAACTACAAACAAAAATAACTGGCCAAAAAATTAAAAGCCATAATCATGACCCATACCGTGTTTTTAGACAGTTGGGATTGTCTCCGAGCAAAACCGTCTCAGCTTCCTATTGAGAGAAGAAAATAGAAATTAAACATATATATAAATGGGCGTATGAATTCATCCATAACACCACCAAATTTCACTAAATTTCACCAATAAATAATAAATAAGAAAAAGCATAAAATAACCACAATAGAAGTGAGATGTTCCACAGACATAGTTTAGGTGTAAATACAAGTACGGCAGATATGAAGTCAATAGAACTTACTTTTACTGCCGAGCTGAAGAGATGAAAGATTAGAGTCAAATGAGCCATGTAGATGGCATTTGATTAACGTTTTTAATTTAAAAAAGGAACTTGGTTCTGGTTTTTTTTTTGTGAAAATAAAAAATGGAAAAACATATTTGGTTTCTATTTTTGTTCAGAAAAAATGAAAATGGAAACAAAAAACCTGTTTGAAACTATTTTTATTGGTGTTGTAAATAATTACCTACTGCTATATCTATTATTAATTTACTAAAGACCAAAAAGTAGTAGCATACCTTCAAACATCCAACACCATTGATTTATATCCTACTCTGCATCATTACTTAAGCAAAATTCTACGAGACAATACTACTTGTAACAAAAAAATACAAAACACAAAACAACAATACATTCATAACATGCAAACATTAAAATATGAATCCATATATAGTCTCATGGTAGATTCTGCCAGTATGAGCACAATTATGCTTATTACTTCCGAGTTGGTATTGACCCAGCCATATGAAACAACCCACATGGTTCAATCCACGTGGAAACCTGCTCATCCATTAAACTCCATAAGAATTGTCTCATTCCATGGGATCACGGTCCATTGATCTTAGTTGATTTAATCTCCATAATTGATAGACTAGCAATTTTCTCAAATGTCCTTATCAATTAGAGAATACCTAATGGTACCACATATACAAACACAGTAAACTCCAACAAGATACTGGTGAATAATGTGCAACAGACCCAACTCATGTAAATAAAAAATGAGGACCACTGAACCATATGTTGCAAAGCAAAGAAACTATACCAATTATGAAAGTAACATGTGACCTGCCAGGGATTACACAATTTTTGAATCGAGCAGCAAACAACAATCAGGAACTCCAATTTCACAAGGAACCAATATAAGCATAAGAGACTGTACTTATCCCTGGAAGTATGAAGTATTACATAATTTATCAGGCCAAATTTTTGCAAAGCAGTATGGTGGAGTGGATCATAGATCAAACAATCAGAAGAATAGCCACAGCTGTTGGCAAGAAGGATGTTAAAGTGTATTAGAATGAAGAGATTTTTGCTTTTCTGTTTTATTTGATCTCTATAGCTGTAAGCATTAATTTGACACAGATGATCTCCAAAAAGTTACCTGGAACGAGAATGATCTTATAGAGGATTTGAGTCCTGCAATTATCATCCGGGCAAGACATGAAACTTTTGTGTGTTCTTATCAAGAGAAGAGTATGATTTCAATTTCATGAAACCAGCAACCATATAACGGAACCAAAAACCACCGACTAGATTTTACCACAAACAAAAAAATGAAAATTGCAAAGTCTGAGAAAAAAAAATTTTATACCATAATCAACTAAAAAGCAAAAACACATCTAGCACCAACCAAATCCATAAACATTGAACAAAAACAGAATTTCACGCAAATAAGATCAACGAGAGTCTTGGACTTCAATTTTGCATATACAACAACTATCGAGGGCGGGCGAGTGACAAAGGATCGATCACCTGAAGACGAATTTCGGGATCCTATGATCGGGCAATACAGTAAGAAATTCCTGCAAAATTAGTAAAAAAATAGGTTACGGGTTCCACTGATGGGGTGTGCCTGTGTGACAGTGAAAGATAACATTGATAAAAACTTTTAAGGACTTGGCTAGGATTAGGGTTTCTAGAGGAGATAGGCAGAGAGAGAGAGTTTCAGGTAATGAGATTTGGCGCTGAGAGGAGAATCGGGTAATGAGATTTGGAAACTAGCCGTTCGGGAGAGAGAGAGTACGAGGGTGAAAGAGAGATTTGAAGATGTTTAGATACGGGGCTGAGATAAGAAGGACATTGTGAAGTATGTAATTACATTCCCACCGTAAAAAGATATTCTCTTTATGTGAAAATTAAATTAAATATTACTCTTGAATTTTTCACATTACTTTCCTTAACTATTTAAATCATCTTAAACATAATCGCCCATCATCTTTTTTGATATAAATTGTCAACAGGACAAAATAAAAAAAAATCAAATCGATTGGACTAATGTGAAACTAATCACATACATTACATTTTAAAGGGATAATATAATCAAATTTCATATTTGAGAGTGACTGGCAATTGACCATAACTAAGTGAACTAAATCAATTTATTACAGTCCGACGCAAGTAAGCAAGATGAACCTAGTAAAGTGAATTCATAGCACTTCCTTCGAATTTAGCCAAAGATAGGCACAACATTGATATACAGTTTTTTGATTAATAAACCATGTCACAAGTTTGTCTAAGCAATTCAATCATAACTGATGATGCACAAAATGGTTTTGCACACCGTTTGTCAAGTGTAATATATAATAAATATAAGAAATAATATAAAGAGATAGAGAGACACAAGCAATTTATGGTAATTTAGTCAACTCGACTTACGTCCAGTTTTGAATGGCTCTGATCGCCAGATACTTTATTAACTCAAGGGTGTGGGGAGCAGAGAATACAATTTTTTTGGGAGAGGAGAGAGTCGTGCTCAGGTAAAAAGTGATGCCCCCAAGTCTTGGTGGGGCGCGTGCAATTTGTAATAGTCCCCTAACAGGTTGGGACTATTTTTCAACAACGAAACAACCATTTCGATGGAGTTCACGACTTCTTTTCAACGGAGGAGGTGGTTGAGAAGCTCTCCATGAAATACGGTCAAAGATAAGGTGAGGGTGGACCGTTTTCTTTTGGGATGCAGGTAAGCCCCCATACTCTCCCTCTTGATGACGTGGCTAAGCAAAGTGTCTGACTAGTCTTGGACTATATTGGGCCTAGTGGATCTTTAATAAGGTTGAGCTCCTCAATTGGGATTTGGACTTTCCCCATAGATTGGGTCATTTGGACTTGACCCATCAATAACTGTCCTGCTATAATCTAGGAATTATCTAGTGAAGAGTAATGTTACATGAACTTAAAAAGTAGATTTAAAAATTATACTTGATAATTATAACCATTGATTTCACTGTGGGTCCTAGCATTTATTGGGACTCACTACCTATTCAATTGTTGAGATTATCAAGTATAATTTTTAAGTCTACTTTTTAAGTTTATATAACATTACTCCCTAATGAATGGTCTCAAACAAGTATTAAAAAGTTGTCGTGTATACCACTCAACGTATAACTTTCAAAAAAATATTATTTTTTTTTATTTTGGAAGACTAAGAATTCATATGCCTCCACTTTTCATCCAATAAAAACATTGAATAATGTTTTTTTAATCTAATTTATTGACATAATTTGTTAACATAATTCACTGTGATATTTGGATTCACTGTAAACCTCATCCAACATTAGAACTAGTTGTTGATTTAATGATTCTTATGAAGTCATATCATTATGTCAACAAATTATGTCAGATTTTTAAGTCTAAATAATATTAATTGAAAACATTATAAACGTAAAATTTATTTAATTTGACAATATATTATTCAAATTAAAATTGCATCATTAATGGTGAGTTTTGAATCTAAATCCCCTCCCTTTTTTGGATGACATGTCTATAAAACTTGGTAAAAAAAAATTAGTATTATTATTATTATTAAAAATCTTAATTTAAGGGGTAAAATAATAATTAATCATTAAATTATAGGTCTTCCACTTTTCTTCTTCTAGTGTGATGTCGAAAGAGTGAGAGAGAGAAAGGTGAGTATGGTTTTATTTTTTATTTTTTCTTCATTCTCAGATCTACAATGATTGACTTGTTTAATCGCTTCGGACTAAATATTAAAGTTACTCTACTCAGCGAGAGCTACGCAACCACACCAAATATCATATTTTTCTCCGAAAGAATATCAAAGACAATAATCTAGACCTAAAGTTTGAGAAATTAAATTGGGCTTCCTCGTAGTTCCAGTATGTGGGCTCACACTACGAGAGGTAGAGTTTCCCCTATTTAGATTTACATTCAACCTAAAATATGACATATGAAATGGGTAGGTTATGGGTGTATATCATATGTTAGGTGTAACTAGTGAGTCAAATATATGATTTATAATTAATTTTGTAATTATAAAAATTATATTATGATTAACTTGGTGTAAGTTAATGTTAGTGGTTTAAAACATGTTAATTGTACATTAGCATTATTTTATGTTTTAAATGGTATATCAAGTTTAATGAAATTATTAGCTTGTCATGTGATTTTGGAATACTATGTATGTTAAATGATCATTTAGTATATAATTATTGTGGACTTGTGCTTATGTTTATAGAATTGATAAACATGTTGTCATGTTAAAAATGTCATTGTATTGTATTATTTATGTAATGGACATTGTAAATGGGACCAAAGGCAATTGCACATTGAAATGTCATTATGCATGAGGTACATTACATTTATGGGTATTGACATGGGTGGGAGTGTGTGCATAGGATGAAATCAATCACCACATAGGTGGTTGATTGTGGGTTTGGAAAAGTCGCACCAGGGTCCGGCTGAGTCACATGAAAAATTAAATGGATAAACGTGTTAGGGATAGCAAGAAGTGCTAGATTCTCCCTCGGGTGCAAGAACCGCTTACTTGATTTATACATTTTTTGGCGGTAAAATTTCAGAAAAGTGTAACGGCCAAAACGGAGCCATAGGTGGGATATCCTAAAAATTCGTTGATGGTTGGTATCTCATTGGTGTAATACCATAAATCATCCCTCCACAAAGACACAAGAAAATAAATTAATTAGTCATTGAGTGTACATAACACTAATGACAAGACTTAGAATGTTCGGATACATACGCATGATATTGTATGTGTTGTAGGAGCTCAGGATGAGGCTCGGTGTTGGTATTGTGTTTGTGAGTCTCATCTCATGGTATGACATGATTTATGGTGTTTGTTCATAATAGACATATTTGAATGATTGCATGAAATGATTGTTGTATGTGACATTTCATATGTATTTAGGTTGAGAAGTATTCTCTATAGGAGTTATCCTATTGAACGTTGACTCACCCTTTATGGGAACATTTTCAGGTATTGCACAAGCGTCAATCGAAGGCGAGGCCATGGGCCCGCTTTGACAACAGAGCCGGTCTATGGCTCTTCTTTTGAAATCGTAGTCCCTTGTTTATAATTATTTTTAGCCTTGTGTAATTTTTGTAACAAAAACTTGTTTATATTTAAAAGGTATGTATAAGGAACTATTTTAAGACATTTATTCTTTTATTAATAAATGTACATAATGATGATGATTATAGTAGTATTCGATACTATACAATTGTGAATGGATGGATAGACGCAGTGTGGTCAATATTGTACAGGTTGCGTTTTGGATAGAGCTCCTCGTACAAAGGAGACTCTGCTCAAATTTTGTTAAATTATAGATCTCGGTAAATGGGATATAACGACGTGGTTTTAAATTACATGATATTCATGGATATTCCGCAGGTTAATAAGTGATCAATCAGATAATTACAGACACAAGGATTTTGGGGTGTCACAATGTCAAAATAAAATCAACTATACTTCATGACCAAGGCTAATGCAAGGACTCAAGTATGCATGAAATCAATTTATCACGAGTTCCATTCAATTATGCCATGATACTGAAAGATATTTTGATTATCAATTTACACCATCAAATATTAAAAATTTTAATTTACACACTCAATGTTATGAATTACTAATAATGTAGATATCCCTCAGATTGTCGTAAATTGAAACAGACGAGTTGCAAATGCTTCGGGTGTGGGTTTATATATAAATTCACATACTATTGACACCTTTGGGTAAATTGCTTATAATATGATTAGTTTCTATCTGATTAATGAAATCTGATTTTAAAACACAAAAACAGTGTCAATTAATCGCAGACGGAGATTTAGAGTAGTGGACATAACTCATTCTTGTGTTCGAATTACTTGAATTTCATATGTTTCAATTTATGATGAAAAATTAAACTATAATCTAAATTAGATTCACATTATTACAAATTCATAACATTGAAAGCGTAAATTGAGATTTTTAATATTTGAGAGTATAATTTAATAATCAAATTATATTTTTAAGGTGCAAAGTCAAATTAGTCCGTAAAATAAAACAACCATACATCTATTCATATAACACATACATATACATAAGTCCCATACAATTTACGTATGTATAAAAGTGGAAGTGTTGTATGAGCGGCGGTGAGAGCTCAAAGGAGAGAGATAAATTGAGTTGTACTGTTTGAGAGAGAGAGAGCCAGAGCTTTTCGTGGTTTAAAAGAGGTGGATGAGTTTGCTTTCACCACCTTGTGTAAGGAGTGTAACGGCTAGGGTTTATTTCCTAATTTGGGTCTGTACTACTTGCAACCAAAGGAAGAACAGTACAAAATTTAATAAAAAAGTTTATTCGTGGACCAAATAAAAAATTGCCACTAAATATATAGCAGTGAATATTAAAATTAGCGACAAATTTAAAGTGTATTACCTTGTTATCCAAATCATATTCATAGAATTGAAATAGGTGTTGGTCTCATGCAATGAATAAGATTTATATATTTTTTTGGCTCTTCCTTAAACTGTAAGGGGTAAAAATCGCTACGGATCTCATCCCTCCACTTGAAGGATTTCGGCTGATCTGGCGGCACTGAGTCCCAGTAGTCTTTACCTCTCTTCGCCAATAGGACCCTTTCCTAAGGCAATCCCACATCGGAAGAGAGTCGTCTTCCCCCTTGCCATATAAGTGAACACTTCTTATGGAAGAGGTACCCACTAACGACTTACAGAAAGATGCCTTTTTGTAAAGGGTAAAAAATCGCTACGGATCTCGTCCTTCTACTTGAAGGATTCCGGCTGACCTGTGGCACCGAGCCCCAGTAGCCTTTACCTACTGGGGTTCGGTGCTACCAGGTCAGCTGGAATCTTTCAAGTGGAGGGATGAGATCCGTAGCGATTTCTACCCCTTACATAAACTTATCATTTAAGAATTAAATATTTATATAAGTTGCTTGGAAATTAAAAATATTATGAAAAATTATTATATATTAAAATTAATTTTATTTAAAAAATTAAAATAAATTGTTGTTAGTTAATAAGATAGCAAAACGTTTGTTACATGAAATACAAATTAAGTTTTAGTTGAATGAATAAAAACAAATAAAATAAAATTTTAAAACATTAGAAAAGATGAGGAGATTTCTCAAGTCCCTCATTTCTTAATTTGATTACTGTATATTCATTTTCTTTTATAATCATAAATTGTAAACATAATAAAGCAAAATAAACTAATAATATATAAAAATTAGATTATTTTATTTTGGGTTAATTGCAAGTTGTACCCTAAAAGATAGTTAGACATTCAAATAATAAGTTTGATTTTGAACTTTAGAGTATATTGAACCTATAAAATAAAAGGTAATATGAAATTATAAATTTTTATTAGGATAAAATCATATTTTTTAACGATTATATTAACAGATATCAACGAAAAGGAATTACGTGTTACACGTGCACAAACGTCATAAGATGTAAGAGTAATATTTTAAATGTGAAGGGGTCCAAATAATTAAGTGACAAGTATAAAAGGATTTAGGAATAATTTATCAATTCAGTTTTAAGTGCACATTAATATAAATTTCTATCTTTGAGAGTGTAAATTGAGATTTTTTATTTTTAGAGGTGCACATTGATACAAATTTTTATCTTTGAAGGTGCAAATTGAGATTTTTATCTTTGGAGGTGCACATTGATACAAATTTATATCTTTAAGGGTATAAATTAAAATTTTTGATATTTGAGAGTATAAATTGAGATTCGAATGATCTTTTAAGGTGTAATTTGTAATTAACCCTTTTATTTTAAATAATAAAAAATGAGATGCGGTAGTAACATGATTTGACTCTTAACTCCAACACTACCTCTTATTGGCTCCTAAACCCCTATTAATCACAAAAACCCTTGCACCTCGGAAGAACCTAACAATGGCGGATCATGACTCCAAAGCAGAACAGAAGGTCATGACTAAGAAGAAGAAGCGAAAGCATAGAAGCGGAGAAGAAAGAGAATCTCAACAAGGACCTCCAAAAGCCTATCGTATTGATCCGTCGGAGAGAGAAATTGAGGAACGCAAAGCAGAGTTAGAAGTTGAGAGAGAAACAAGAGTGAAACTTGACCATGGGCATCCTTGGGGAAATATGCAACTAATTTTATCACTTCAGGACAAAGATATTGATATTCAGAAGTTAGTGCTTCTATCTTTCTCTCTTACTTCATATATAAGCATAAAAACAGATGCTCTACATCGTTCTGTTGATGTTGCCTTCTTTCTCACACAAATACAAGCACATTGAGCCTGTTTTTATCGGTTGAATGGTAGCATAACACGTTTAGGCTGCTTCTGTCCGCTGAAAAATTGTTTGGAAAAGCAAGAAAGGAGAAGAAACGACTCTTTTTCGGATCAGACACTGAAAAATTGCTTAAAAAATCAAAAGGAGTAAAGGCCGACAGAATAAGAATCGAATTGAAGTTCTAAATTTTGAGTTTATTTACGGAGGACTGTTAAAACTAAAGTTTTCACTCCACGAATACCGATACAAAAGATTGGCTTATGTTTTTGTTTCAGTGGATACAATTGGAGTACTTTTGAGAGTTCTTTTGTTTTTACTTGGACAATAGACCACTGTTATTTTGAATCTTACTTTGTTATATTGCCAAAAGCTGGTTGATTGGTGTTATTCTGTTTTTGATAAATAAGAGAACTTCCTTGCAGAAAAGTCGAATTGGCATTTGATTATGTGAAACTGAAAGCTAGCGAAGAAGAGGATGACAGCGGCCAAGTTCTAGAGACAGTTAACATTTCACGAGTAATTGTGTTCCTCAACAATTGGGTCCTGTCATTGTTGATTTATTCAGAAAAGACAATTAGAGTTGAAGGAAATAAATTTGAGCCTAGCACCATTTGGTATTGCTTTGATTGCAGATGCTGGGAGATATTCAAGTTCTGCTTAGAGGAGTCTTTGAAAATGCATATTTCATTGAGCTTCTCAAAGGACTTGTTACGTGTTATTCACTGCATTGCAAAAGATGCATTGTACCAACTGAATCACGTGTCCCAGCATTTTGAGACGTCAGTTTGTAGTGGTGACAGGTTTGAACTGTACAGTATCGTTCTTGATTGCATTTCTTTGGTTTTCACATCCCATGGTGGGGTTTCAAATGAAAATTTGGACTTATGGATTTCGACTATTGGTACGCTTCTTGAGCTTATCCATAAAATACTAAGTGACAAGCTTGTTGGTGGTAAGGTTGGTATGTTTGTCCTGCGGTTGTCTTGTATTATGCTTGAACCATTTGCAAGGTTTTTGAGGGTCCATCCAGCTCGGAAAAATGGTTTCCGCGATTTCATAGATAAGCTGCTTGAGCCTCTGCTGAATCTGTTGGACGTGATAAATATTTATGTTTCTGGCAAATGCCCCGAGTGGACAAGAAATCTATTGAATTTGGTTGAAGTTGTTCTGTCTCAGGGGTTGCTCCACCCAGCTCACATTGATGGGTTTTTGAGCTTACAAAGTTTGAATAAGTATAAAACCTCCGAAGATGGAAAACCACATGACTTCAAAGTGATCATTAAAAGTTATCATAGACACCTGTTTGATAAGTTGGAAAAAATTATAGCTGGGAAAAATGCACTGGCGTGGGGTGGTTTAGGGGTGCTCTTTCGTTTGTTTGTTAACTGTGTTCAGAAGGAAAAGGGACTTTCAGTCAGAGGAGAAAGTTCTAGGCCCTTGGAAGACGATTCTAGCGGGCATATGTTCAATAGATCCTCTGGAAGCAGTATTGTGGTTTCAGAGAAGAGCCATTGCTCGAGTGGCATGAATGCAGAAACACAGAAGTTGTCCTTTAGTTTCTTTGTGCAGATTGTGGAGCCTCTTTTATTGAAAATTAATACTTATAGTCAAGCAAAACTAGAATTTGGACCTTCTTTGTTGGAAATGCATTGTGCACTCAAAGCTACCAACAATATACTTGCCAGCTTTATCCATGAAAATGTATACATACGAATGGAGGATACGTCCGAAGGAGCTTGTGTTAATTTCCTGAGGGTGGTTTATGATATGGCTATGTCAGTTTCTGCCAAAACTATTGAACTATGGCCATCAAATTTTGTTTCAAATGAAGGAACATATAAGGAGGCTTTGCATCTAATAGCCAGGGAGCTTATTGTTGTTCTACATTGCTTACTGGAAATTGACTATGAGGTTTTTGAGGATGATCTGGAGACCTTATGGATTATGATCTTCTCATATGCGACTCATGGCCTGTCTTTGGCTGATGGACCTGATGAGTCCTTGTTAACTTCAAATACAATTCACCTTGGATGTCAGCTGGTTAATCTCTACAGTGAACTTCGACAGGTTAGTGGAGTTTTTATACAGTCTGATTCCATGTGGCTGCTCATTACATTTCATTAATTTTTTGGAGTTTAACACCATTTGGTTTAAATTTTTAATTATGGTTTCAAATTTTGTTGTCTTTGAATTTAAAATTGACACCCTTATGCCCTCCTAATTATTGGGTGGTTTCATTTGCACTAATATGCGCTTGATTCCTTTGCAACAAGATTTGCTTTATATCTTTCAGTTGATCCATCAGACAACTATTTGGGATGGTACACCACCCTCCCTCGAGTCCTTCCCTCTATAGGTCATCCCCCCAACCCACCACACACACACACACAAAAAAAAAAAAAAAATTCAGAAGTAGGGCTTTTCCCTTCAGTCCAAGGAACAAATTTTCAGGTGCTATTCTTTTTGCGAGGCTCCTCTTCAACTGCATCATTTCTCCATTACAAGAATGTTTCTCTTGTCACAAAGCAATAGCAAGAACAAAATTGGAATCAGAGCAGGAGAAGCAAGCAATATCAAAGAGAAAGGGAAATTTTGGTTCCATAATGGAAATTTTGTCTGTGTCCTTTTTTCTTTTTTTAAACTAATGGATGCAAGCTACCCTAGGCTCTATTTGGGACATGTAATTTTAGTGGATGCATTGTGTGTGGTATTCTTTTCTTTTTCTTTCTTTTAAACTAATAGATGCAAGCTACCCTTAGCTCTATTTTGGGATTCATTTTTGGATCAGATAATATTCATGTCAGAATCTTACACATTGAACTAATGTAGGTGAATAATATTATTTTTGCGCTATGCAACGCAGTGAGGCGTCTGGCATTACCTATCAGGAATGGTGAAACATGTACACCTCAGTACCCTTATGTAGCATATGCAGAATCACTGAGAACGGTATTATGCTCACTTGAATTGAGGCTGTCCATTTATAATGCTATTAGATCTATACCGGAAGGTCAAGCGAGTGGATTCATTCGCCAGTTAACATCAGATATTTCAGAATCCCTGGAATGGATGAAAGGTAAGTGTTCATTGGCTGCTGGAAACGAAGATTTGAAACCATCTGTAAGTAGTTATAGCTTGCCATGTAACAATTTGCAAGCAGAACTTCTGGGAAGAGCTCTGTCTGAAGTGTATATCGTAATTTTGGATTCAATGATTGTCACCACCGGCAATAGTAATCTTGTCAGTGTTGCAGTGAAGGATCTGATGGCAGTGATTCGTCCTAGTATGAGTAGTCTGGTTGCACTGGAGCCCGATAGTGTTACCAAGTTCTTGTTTATGGTTATAGGAAGAACTTACAATCAGGGGACTGGAGTCAAATTTGATTTTCAGTCCACTCACTGGATTTTTATATTCTTCTTTCGGCTCTACATGTCCTGCAGAAGCTTATACCGGCAAACAATCAGTCTTGTGGCCCCAGATACATCCAAAAAGATGTCAGAAATTATCGGTGATACATTAACAGCATACTCTGGAAGGGATTGGTTGGAGAGGACTGTTTGGGCTGATAAAGGTTATTTCTCTTGGATTATCCAACCTTCAGCTTCTCTTCTTACCGTTATACAAGCCGTTTCAGACATCTATCTTCACGACCCTGTTGCAGATTGCTCCCCCCTAATATATGTATTGAATGTCATGGCTCTCCAGAGGCTTGTCGATTTGAATAGACTGATAAAATCATTTGAATATTTGCTGCGGAGGAATACTCATCTTGTTCAGACAAAATCAACAGACGACGCTGAGTTGTCAATGCATCTTAAGAAAGGTAGAAAGTGGGAAAGGTGTGTCTCAAATCTGAGGCAAGAGGCGACAGGTCTGACCAATTTCATGATGGAGTACCTCCCGTTAGTGGCTAAAGATGCATGGGATTTTAGTTTTGGTTCAGTTAATGAAAAGTCATTGACTTCTGCCATCTGGTGGATTCTTTGTCAAAATCTTGATGTTTGGTTCACTCATGTTTCGAAGAAAAAGTTGAAGATGTTCCTCTCAGTTTTAATCCAGAATTCTCTTCCCTGTTTGAGCAGTGGTTTGGAGGACTTAGGAAAGCATAACATCAGTAAACATGGTCATCTGAAGAAAGTCACTGCACATCAAATCTCATTGGAACTTCTGAGCAACACTCTTCTATATGAACAAAGAGTAAGATGATACAGTGGTTTCAACTTCAAACATATGCAAACTCTTTTTATTTTTGTGCCTATGGACACCCTAAGTTCGTGTGCATCATGCACTACTGGAGTTTTGCAGTGAAACAATTCAGTATATCTCAACCTCAACCTCTCTTGTTTATTGTTTTCTGCTATATTAGTCTAGCATCCATTGGTTTTCTCACTATATGTTGTTCTGGTTTGTACGCATGCATATGGCATCAAGGTTTTGTTTATTGTTTTATGCTATCTTATCCTATCGCCATTTGGTTTCCTCACTATATGTTGTACTAGTTTGTTCGCAGGCATATGGCATCAAGGTTTTGCCGAATTTTGGAGAAATCAGTGTTATCAATATTTTCTAATTCCAGAGAGGTGGATTTATATTCGATGCCTGATTGGCCAGAGGTTTTAACTGCATTTGAAAATTCATTGGCCGTTGTTTCAGAAAGGATAGATGCTATGGATGACTTGGCTTCAGGTGCAGAGGTGATTTCTCGTTCATCTAGTTTCCTACCACCGGAGATTCACACGAAACGAGAGTCATTGCCTTCAAATGACATGGATTTTGTCACATGTCAGAGTCTTCTCAGCTTTTTGTGTTGGATGCCAAAAGCGTATCTAAGTTCTAAGTCGTTCACACTTTATGCAACTTGTATTCTAAATCTTGAAAGGTACCCCACTTGTCACATGCATGTATATATTGCCCCAGCCATATTTTGAAGCAGATTTTTGCATATTTAATTAGTGAATGGTAAATTTATTACTTTTAATTTTTTTCATACGTCAGACTTATGATATGCATTAGAAATTTTCCGTTATATGATTCACGTCTTTTTGATTGAGGACGAGAAGTACAATGAAATTAATTTAAATGGTTGTTCTTCAATATGCACCTCAAATCATTGTCATAATAGAACAGGAGTGAAATGAACCCCTCCTTTTTTTTCTTCCTTTTTATTTTTTGGTTGCAAACATTTTCTGTAACTATTCACATCTGCTTACTTGCTCAATAGAACCCTTGGTCTACCATTTTACTCTACCTATAGTCATTTTCTGTTTGATCGTAAAGTTGTCATATCCTCTTATTACTACATCATTCAAAGTTAGTTTCGGTTTGTCTCTTCCTCTTGCATTCCATTGATAGGTATTATATCACTATAGGTTCATGGTCATCATGGATCTGAGAAGTTTGGTACTGACTGTCACTTACCTAACACAATTCTCCTCCTTTTCGTGTGCTTAGGACTCACTTTTTGAAAGATGGGGCACTAAACCTGATACAAGCGGAGTTAAATGCTTATTTGCTACTTAGTTTAATTCCCCAAACCGCCTTCAAAAGATTGTAGGTTAAATTTGCTAGGATTCAATGAACACTCTATGTTAATGTTTGAAAGAAACAAGTGCAAGCGGAGTAATAGTTATGACCTGTATTCTAGTTCCAGGTTTACTTTGAACATATATTAGTTGGAAGCCATTTGGTAATGCAACTGGACTAAGTGAAAGGGAATGAAACCTGATGTACAAGTGAGGTATACAAGTCAGCCGTCCCACTGTAGGCTGCATGCAGAATGTTTGCACAATATATGGATGGTGCTGAGTTGTTGAATTTGGCTGCCCGCATTGGCATGGGCTTTGTCACGATTCAGCTAGATGAACCCTGTTACAGATGGATTGGGAATATTCTAGATATCCTTCTAGGTTTGTGTGTAGGTAAATAAGGATAAAGGTTTTATGAAATTTTTAAGTTGGTGATTCGGACTCTTTACGCTTCATTATGAAATAATTCGTTAAGCATTTTCTGTTTGTCTAACATGATTCTGTAATGGTTATTCTGGTATAAGGATGAGCGGTTTGCTGCTGCTTTACATTGATAGCTGTACATGTGGGAGAATCGTAGAGAAGGCAGGGGCTTCTGTTGGGTTCAGTAAGATGGAAAACTGCATTTTTTGTTTATGTAAGGGCTTGATTTGTAGAATCCAAAGGGATAAGGTACATTACCTTGAAGATTTTATCCTCCTGCTTGCAGCTTATATTCCTACTGAAGAGGAGATGCAAACTAGATGAAAGTAGTGGGTGGTTTTGCACTCTAAGGTGAGGTTGGGTACATGGAAAAGTTAGTCCAGTTAAAAGGAAGAAGAAAGATGGTTGAAAAAGAAGATAGTATCAAGCTAGCAAAGTGGTAGCATTGAGCCATATGTGATGCTTTAGTGCAGTTGGGATGTTTGATAACTCTACGGACGAGTGTCATGGTGAGGGGCAGGTGGCAATAAAGGTACAACTATAAACGGCAAAGTGATTTAGAGGGAGTAGAGAGAGAATACTTGAAAACTTCAACTAATGAAAAATATGTGTCGGATTATAATAGTTTGGGTGGTTATCATGTTTGAGTTTTTAATAATTTCATGGATTGTCAATATCATTTATTTTTTGGGTCATTAAATTTTGTCTAATATCTTGTGTATACCATAATTGTTTTAGATGAATAGTATCAAGGGACAAATTAAGAAAGCAAATAAAGGTTTTAAATTTAGATAAGGTAGATCTTTATATACAGTAGTATACTGTAAAATATATTACATCATGCAATTTTTGGCATCCCACCATTGATGCTCTCTTCCCCTGCTTGTAACTAGGTACCGAATCAGCAGTTCTTATGTTTGAAGTTAACACTGCGCTGGTAATAAATGCTACATGCACATGCTAGCCTCACTCATTAGGGAAAATATAGTCATCCATGAAGGGACACTTGGACAGAATAAAAATTTAAGTTTCACAGCCCTCTCTTCGCTGAATTTGCTAGAGGAATTAACTGTTGACTTGCACATCATCCTGTCATCATAGTTGTGAATATTCTTTAAATTGTGGGACATGATATATTGCACGGTTAATTTTGCCTTTTTGACTCTGAAGTTTTCTTCTGTAGCATGCATTTCTCTCGATACATATATTATTGATTGATGTGCAAGTGGTCCTGTTTGTTTCAGGCTTGTACTTGGGAGCTTATTAGATTTGCATGGTGCTTCACATTCACATTATCATTATGATCTCTTCAGATTGTTTGTATCCTGTCGGAGGGCCCTAAAAATTTTAACAGTGGCATCTTGTGAGGAGAAGATGGAAGCTAGTCAATTCTCTCTTTCTTGCATACTGTTTGAGAGTCCATATCCTGTTTTATGGCTTTTGAAGTCAATGTCTGCAGTTATTAGGTGTCAATGTGTATTTTCAGAAGATAATGCCACCAAAGTGAAAGATATGATTTTCTCGTTGGTAGATCACACAGCATATTTGTTTTTTGACATTAAGCAAAGACAAATTGTGCGTGCAATTCACTCGCATATTTTATATGGAAAACTTTGTGAGGAAAAGTCCAGTTCTGTTATTGCCCAAGAAAGGTGTGATGGTATTGAAGATGATCCATATTTGAATTCTGGTGAAGATATAGATGCACGGAGAAGTGTGGTCCTTGTGGCTGAGACTTTAAAGGAACAGGTGCAAAACATACTTGTGTCTCTAAAGGAAGTCATCTGTGATGAAAAAAAGGAACCTTTTACTGGTGTTCAGGAATATACTTCCTTGTCAACTATTATTTCCTGCTTGCAAGGCTTTTTGTGGGGGCTAGCATCTGCCTTGGACAATGTAGATGCACCAAGGTTTAATGTTAAAATAAAATTCTCAAGATGGAAATTTGAACCTCTCCATGAAGTCAACCTTTGCCTGGATACAGTTGCAGATTTTATAAATTATTCCTTGCGAGCGTTGCTTGTTGAGGATGATCAGTGTCCTAATCGTTTATCATATGATGAAACTCTTCCCACGTCAGAGTGCAGTGATGATTTTTGGGGGTGGAGCAGACTTCACTTAAAGGTTTTGCTGATTTTGATGATACTTTGCATGGGCAAGAGCAGCAGAATTGTGGAAATGCAAGGAACTTCTCCACAACAGCTGCTATAAAGGAGGACTCCAGTAAGAGTGTCTGGAAAAAAAAGTCTCATTCAGGAAATGCAGAAAGTATTTTGACCAAGGTTGATTTGTCTGAGCAACTATGTTTAAGGAAATCTTTATTGCAGGGTTTTTTGAGAGGTGAAGATCTTGAAGCAGCATTTTTTCTCAGACAACTATTTATTGCTTCTTCAGCAATTTTGAAGCTAAATTTGCAGACTAATCGTAATGCCTTGTCATCCAGCTTGATTTCTATTTTAATTGGCATTTCCCGAGTTTTGTTAGTGGAGTTTGCAAGCAAGGTTGAGGTGCCACAACCATTTTCTTTTGTTTGGTTAGATAGTGTTGTAATGTTTCTTGAAGAGTTGGGGAGTTACTTTCCATCATCCAATCCTACCTTGTCTAGAAATTTGTATGTCAAGTTGGTAGACTTACACTTAAGGGCTATAGGGAAATGCATCTCTTTACAGGGCAAAGGAGCTACTCTAACATCTCATGAGACAGAGTCAAGTACCAAGATGCTAAATGGTCAGATGGGATTATCTGAATGCAATATTTCCCAAGGGCCATACTTAGATGAATTTAAAGGCAGGTTGAGGATGTCATTCAAAGCTTTTTGAAGAGACCATCAGAATTGCATCTATTTTCTGTAGTTCAGGCTATAGAGAGAGCCTTAGTAGGAATGCAGGAAGGCTGCATGATAAACTATGAACTACAAACTGGAAGTTCAGATGGGGGAAAGGTTTCCTCCACTGTTGCAGCTGGTATTGACTGCCTTGATTTGGTTCTTGAATTTGTTACAGGTATAATAATCCATCAGTATGTAAGTAATAATGTCTGTTCTGACACCAAATGAGAATTATTGAACCTCATTGTCATCTTTTCTCCACTCTTCACTCTCCCCCCTTCTTCCTTGATCCTTTTATGACACAATGGAGAAATTTCACACATCTTTCTCTTTCTAGCAACTAAATGTCATTATCATTCAGTAGGCAGAGAGGTCAATGACAAACAATGGACAATTGTTTGCCAAAAAAAAAAAAACTGAGTGCTCTCTCTCTCTCATATTCTTGAAATTCATCACTCTGATTTACTGTATGTGTTTACAAGTCTAGTTACACAGATCCTTATTTGGTGAAGGCATCTTTTGTTCTAATTGTTGAAGTGCTTTGTAGGACGCCAACGATTGAGTGTGGTGAAAACCACACATCCAGAGCTTAGTGACGTGTCTGTTCACATAATTCTGCACTTGCAGGGTCCAAAAATCTTCTATGGGAAAGCCAAAGGTAATAGAGGCGATGCTGATCCTGATCCGGGATCAGTCCTTCGTATGTGTGTCGAGG